CTTTCTGGACACATTGAACATCATATTAGATAATTTTTTAAAATATTTTTTGTTGCCTTTAATTTGTTTTAATACAAAACATAGATCTCAAGTTTACTCTGCCAGAGAGGCAAATGAAGCCCTTCCGATATCTATCACCTCCTGTCAGGATCCACACAGTGACCCAATGAATGAACAAACCTGGGTCCCTAGTCATGCTTCTGGGTAGCAAAGTAGCTTTGGAGGAAGCCACATGCGTGTACAGGCAGCTAGACTTAACGATGGCTGAACACCACCACACCAAAGCTATGGATGCCAACTTCCATTGACCCTTAAACGCCTTCTCCATTTCTCACCATCATGCTTAAGTGCAGTTCCTCAAGATTTACTAAAAGTCAGGTATCCGCAGAAAACTTAACATTGTTGGTAAAATGTAAATTGACCCTGTTACATTCTAAAATCAATATCACTGTCACTAAAAAAGTTGACTATGTAAATAGTGCCTGTTTAAAGGTACCTCATAATTAGCCTGCCTTTGGCTTCGTCTATCTTCATGCTGAACTATGTTTGATTTTTAGCATGGTCAGCAATGTTTCTAGTCACTGTCAACTAATTCCCTGGAGATAGTTCCAGTCTGTTTCTGTTTCTGTCTTCCTCTCCCCAACCTCTCTCTCCCTCTTAGGTTCCTTTTCTTTCTATCATAACAGAAAAATTTGAAGGAGTGTGACTCGAGCTTACTCAGCATCCTGCCTTCCTGCTTCAAGCTTTCCTAGTGTCAAGGAGAAAACATGCCACTCATTTCCAGTGTTAGCCTCACAGCTCAAGTTCTGAACAGTGGCCCCTCAACTCTTAGGAGCCTCTCCTTCTTTCCAGTATTTCAGGCTTTGCTCACAATGGCCATTTCTTTCGTCATTTGTATATAAATCTATCTTGTCAACTCTTTCAAAAACTTTATCTTCTACAAGAGTCTGATTTTTTATTTCTTTTGTTCTTCAAGATCTTACCCACCCCCACTCTTTGTACAGCTTCTTCTAGTAATCCCCAAGCACTTTGATTTCTAACAGCATCACTTTCATGATATTCTGCAGTATGTCCTCATTTCATTTTCCAGGCCATTTTGCTTCATTTGATGCAATTTATGGATTCATAAAACTTCTCCTCCTGTTATATTCATGAAACAGCTCTATTACTCCTGTTGTCCTTGACTGGGGATCTATTGGCTCTGTTCAGATGCTTTAGTCTTCCTTTGCATCCTTCAAAACTACACTTTCCCACAACTTCCAATCATGGTACCCATTAATTAAGCATCACTCCTTCCATCAATATCCAGCTTATAATTTCCTGCTTAGACACCCCCATTTCTATGTCACATCTTCACTCATCTAGCTTAGCTCAGTGGCCTTCTTTCCTTTGTGTTAAACTAAGCCCAATAGACTCATGACTCAAGGTCATCAACACCCTGCTTCCTCCATTATGCCTTTTCCAAGCATGGAAAGATACTTAAAGCCTTTGTCTAAAGCAACATTAGGCTTATGGTCTTGACAAAATGGTACATCTTGTTAGTATTTAGTTAGCTCAAACATAGAGTTCTTATTTCACCAACTATTCATCTGAAACGTGAATGTCAGTTTTTATTGCCTCACTGTCTTACCACGTGCTAGGTACACAGAAATTGTTCAACTAATTTGCTCAATTGCTTAATGTTAAACATTGCTTAAAGAAGTAATAATGTGTGTATCGTGTCACAAGGGAGACTTTTAAAGATCTTAATCAAGTACCTTCAAAGAAACAAACAAAAAATAGACTTTCAAATGGATTTCTTGGGAGGTTATAGGAGGCATTGTAACATTGTTTAAGAAGGAGTTTCGGCTTTTAAAGCAGATGGCCTGGGTTAAAATCCTTGTTCTCCCACCTAGTGAAAGTTTGGGAAGGTTAACTAACATCCTTGTATGTTAATATCTCTCCACAAAGCTAGGAGCAATAACAGGAACTGCTTCATGGAGCTATTATGAAACCAAGAGAGTTATGTCACATACTGAAAACAATTCTGGTATGTAGGAATTGCTCTATAAATATCAGTTATTAATAAAAGTTTGTTATACATACAGTGGTAGTGCCTCAGAGCTAAAAGAACCTCCAGCTAAAAGAACTGAAGAGCCACGGAACCAAAGTAATAACTGGCTCACAATTCAGAGCAAATTTAGAAGCCAAGAAAAAACACAGTTCTCTTGACCTATTTTCTATGGGATTTTTCTCCTTAAGGATTTCTATATCTGAACACAAACTAAGGGACATTCAAGGATGTTCAGTTTAACTCTCCCATAAGGGACCACACTGCATGATCATTTATCACAAACTGTTTCCTTGCCAGCAACTCTATTTCATAGATCTTGGTCACAGAAATGGGTGGACAGGGATTCCAACAGAACTTGTATCAAAGCCCCAAGTAAAACTAAGAAACACATGAGCAATAGAACTAGATGCCAAGGTCGGGTCCTCTGAGTTCAGATGAAGCCACTTAATGTGCATCTTCTGAAAAATAAAACTGTTCAGGGAAAACGTGGTCTGGAAGAGTCATTATAAAGCTGTGGTCCAGGCTATCCTGCCCATACATGAATGCTTTGCAGATAGTGAGAATGCTTTGCCTGGGAAGAACCTGAAATTACGATTTTGATGAACTCAGAACAACCTCTTTAACAGCCAGGAAAGTCACTGGAGCCAAGTACCCATACCAGGCATGATTTCTGATGGGTTGAGCTTTCTTGTCATTGTCTGGAACAATATGCAGCCTGGTTGTGCAATCAGGTTCACCAGTATTTTAAAATTCAATTATTCAATCTAGCAGATATAGACTTTCAGGAGGAATTGCAGCAACTAGGTACAAATAAACCTCTAAGAAAGAATTCTCTTATCAGATGAAAAAAGATGCTGTTATCTGCCTCAACTTAACAATATTGCAAATTAAATCATCATCAGTGGGAATGGTGGGAGAAAGGGCCATACTATGTGCCCACAAAGGGTTCTGATCACCCACTACCCCAATTGCCAACAAGACTCAGAGAATCCACATTCTCACTGTAGGATTATTTTAAAACACCTTGCTTTAGAACACAGACTCTGAGCTTTATTGCTTAGAATTTTATTTCTCAAAGCATGAAGTTTCCATTACATTAAATCAGAAAGTTAAATTACCTTCTTTACATTGAAGATGAACCAGACACCCTCCAACAACCTTACAGTGATACACTGTTCCTCATTTTGTTTTTAGTATTTTACATATATCTCTAAATTTACTGGTGATAGTGACTTTTTATAGTTTTGGTTGTGAGCTTAGCTTTTAATGGCTGAGCCATCTCTCTAGCCCAACAATATCTTTTTATACCTACCTGTGTGTGATGTCCGATTTGTAGACTCTAAACTCCTAAGAAGAGACTCCCTGTCTCATTATCTTTTTATTCCTCCAAAGTCTTCTACTGTCTCAGATGTTTCTGCTTGGTAAATGTGTTATTTAGTTTCAACTGTACATCCACTAAGCATTTCCCACTTGAAAAGTGTGACTAATGGATTCTTAGGGTGGAATGTCTTTTCTTTCTGGGATATCTTATTTTTGAAACATAATCTTTAAAAAATACCATAGCAGGTGAGCATTGCGATTTTGGAGTGCTAAGGAAGTATCTAGCAAACATTGCTGAATATTATTGTTGTGGAAATTTGCAGAGGTTTCAGCTGAAGGGGACCCAAGCATCTCCTTGTGACAGAGGCAAAGAGAAAGCCCAGAGGTGTATCAAGAAGCTAATCCGGAAAGACTATTGTGCTGCCTATAAAAACCACACAGCACCCAGGTCCTACTTCTGAAAGAAAGTATGCCAAGTTATCTCTTTAATGGTTTTTCTGAGAAATTAGCAGGTTTAATGTTTATGAAACATTTAGTACATGCCCATTAGGCCCATAGACAAGACTGGTTGAATGATTTACAATGTTTAGTCTAAAATAAAAATGCAGAGTCCTTTATGCCAAGATTAAGATTTCAAGACAGCAACAGCAGAGCAGTTGGTGAACTGAGGCTTTCTAAGCAAAGAACCTGTGTGTCTGTCTGCATTGGTCCCACACCTACGCAGCCAGACCTGCCCTTCCTGGAAGAGCTTCTGTACAGTGGGAGGCACAAAGCCTGTGACTCAGACAGAAGCAAAATCCAAGGGCATACAAGGAGCTGCAGGAAGCCCGAAGGGCTCCTAATTTTGTGAAAGATAAGTTTAACTTAAAAAAAAAAA